CCCTAGACGCCTTCTCTAATATTTCAAGTAGAGAAGATGGCCACTCTATTTTATTTAGAAGGAAAAATAGGGAATAAGCTCTTCTGCTCTGAGAAAGATTGCTTAACTGCATTTAACTCTTGCTCTGAAAAAATGGACTTTGTTATGCTTTTAAGTTTGTTCAGCACAAGCATTCTTCTTAATATCTTATGTTTCGATTCGTTTTCTCATGAGCATTGTGATGGATACGTTCCCCGTTTCGGCACGAATTTTCTGACGCAGGTTGTACTAAGGAAGATGAAAGCTATGACCTCAAAACCTCCAAACCCGCACAACTAAGTTTACATAATCAGTGTCATGCCTGATTTTCTGAGCCCTTTACCTCATGGGAACTGAGACAACAGTGTGCAGAACTGTACAGCTCACACAACTTATCTGCATCAACATATTTTGGCTTTAGCTGACTCTCTGGGTTCTGAAAGTACCATAGAATACATATCACTATTTTTTATTGTAGGTGGAACCAACTCTTCAATAAAGCAATGCTTAGTCTCATGCAAAACGTGCTGCGGTGAAAGGAAATATTTCCTTTGGCTTCAGCTGGCTTCGAATCAGGTGGCATACATGGTATTAAAAATTAAGGGAAGAGCTTAAAATGAAAAAGAACCTACGTTAATAGTTTCTTCTTCAGAAAGTCCTGCTGGGCTAAAAAAAGAAGGAGACTAAAAAAACCACCCTTTGGTTTTCCTCTGCTGTACTAAAAATGGTATATTGTGTTTCGTGATGGAATAAATAGTACTCAAATGTGCAAAGAATTGAACCAGAGTTTGAATGGAATTCATATAAATTTTAAGACAGTTCCTTCAGGGGGGAAAAAAAAAAGCAAAAAAAAAAAAGTTGCTTACTCTGAAAGCTTCACATGAAAATATAAATGGACTCAAGTGATCTGTGAACCTTCAGGAGAGTTCAGGCTCCTGAGGTAACAAGACGAAAAGTAAATTGTTTTATTATTGCTTATTGGAAATCACAACAGCCAAAAAGATCATTAACGGCTCAGGACCAGAGAGCACGGAGGGTTTAAAAATAGAAGTGTGTCTGTGCCTTGACTTGAGACTTATTCACCCTTAAGCTATTTAAGACTGCAAAATATTTGTAAGACAGTATCTTAGAAACACAATGGCATGGAAATCCAGAAGATTCAGACTCTCACTGTCAACACAATAGGGTGGGTACGATTTCCTCCTCAGATGCACCAACTGAAGTTGTGTCTTTGCCACAGACTGTGGGCAGTAAAAAAGCAAACAGCATGCCTGAGCCACGGTTCAGAAATGGTCTATGCAGCCACTCCCACCTTTAATCTTTCCTGCTATTGTCTGCGTTTGCTCTTGGACTAAGTAAACCATAATGATTTTTCTGTTTAATACATCGATACACTGGGTTTGTCTTTGTTCTTCTTCTTTGATCAAAGCAGAGATGGGAAATGGGGTTTTGTACTAGAGTTCTGTGGCAGAGGCATGCCAAGAACAGTTTGAATGCACGTCGTGGAGATATTGTGAAATCAATAGAGAATTCAGTGGTATTTGTATGAATACAGATATTGCTATCGTTCGTCAAACCTGGCCCGTACAGTAGCTGTGAGTCACATCGAGGTAATTTCAGTTATTGCTTGGTTACTTCCAGATCTGTGTTCCTCTGTATCAATCTTTGCCTGCCCCCCTCTTCCAGTGAATCCTTATCAGCATAACCCTGGCTCAGGTTTGCTATTGGTAAAACCAAAACTTGTTTCTACTTGCATTGCAAATACGAGAAAAAACTTCCGTGACAAGTACCACAACCAGAGTGCAAATCTTTCTCTGGAAAGCATCACCTTATATCTGATGAGCTCCTATCTACCACTTTGTCTTTAAGAACTGATGAAAACCAAACCAGTTACCAACTAGGCAGCTCTTTACCTTCTTCTGGTTTTCATATCCATTATCTTGGAATTGAATTCCTACTTTCTGACTAAATTTCATTAGTTAGAGCATCAGTATTTTCTGGCTAGAAAGGGAGAACTTCTATGAAGCTCATACTTTGCCCTCTCACAGACGAGGTGAATTAGAGAAGAAGAAAAAAAAAATGGAAGTGGCAAGTCAGGTTCTGAGCCCAGCTTTGCTTCTACAGGTCCCACAAGGCAATAAAAACGTGACATAGACCGTGAGGCCATTCTGCTTCCTCAGCTATTACCCTTGGGAGCTGCATTCAGCAAGACACAGTCGAAGGGATCTCTGAGTTTCATTCCTTTAGTTTTATCATTCCATTTTTCTCTTAACAATGAATACAGCTTCAATTTAAATTACCAAACAAAACAGCATTCTTTGTCATGATGAGCCCATTTCAAATGCCTTATTGGAAGCTCTTAAACATTACGTTCTGCTAAATGCCTGAGACTAAAAACGTGGAAATTAAAGCTCCCAAAGTAAGATCAGTGTCTGTAGTGCAGTCGTCTTCGTCTGTGCTAGAAGCCAAACCTCCTGTTGTGCTCTTAGGTGGGATTCACTTAACAGTGGGTGTCTAAAGCAGCTTAAACACAAGATTTACCTTCGACACTGTCGGAAGATGTCACTAAGTGAAGCAGTCAATACCTGCAAGCAAATCTCAGTTCTGGCCTCTGCTGTCTGAGTACACAGGGTGCACCGGGAAGGCCATCGCCCATCAAGTTTTAGGCAAACTATAACACAAATTACTCTATTTCTCCAATATAACACTGCTCATAGTTGCACACTCAAGAGCACAAGGAGGATTGGGAATAGAACCTGTCCCACAGGAGAAACTCTTGCATATTTAAGTTTATTTCAAATAAGTGTTCAAAGAAAAAAAAAGTAAGAGCTAAAACAGATTTAGTATATATTTGCTTTTCTTAAAAAAATGATTCCATGAAAGAGTTTTATAGTTATCTAAGTAGTAATACAGTTTTTATATACAAAATTCCATTTCAAACAATTTACTGTACAAAAGAAAGTGTAAGCAACTGTTACTATTCCATGATTTCAGCAAATAACGAAAAATTCTGCTAAGTATGTGTTCAGGATATAGTTCTACCATTTACAGGAATGTCAGTATTAGGCTGGGAATACTCAGATAAGTATTTACAGATGAAATCCCCTTAGAGGAAGTTCCCCTAAGATTTCTCTTCAGAATAGGTAGTTCATGTTTGGCCGCCTTCTTGATCTTTTGGGTTACCAAGGAATGAGAGGAAGAACACTTTTTCAATAAGATGTACGGACAGAATTCTGCGTGACTTATTCCCACTTACAGTCCTATTGCAGTCAGTGGGTCTGATCTGGTAAACACTTACTACCAGGAGTAATGCTTCTTGTGTGAATAAATCAGGCAGGATTTGGCCCTAGAGTAGCAACCTATGATAAGGTACAAATTTTAAAAATAGTGACATTCCTGCAAGTCAAAATACAACAGAAACAAGAGTTAACAAAATATAAGCCCTTTATTAATAAAAATCTTTGGTTGGATCAGTATTTTAAATAAGCTCCAAGAATATTTGGTTGATACCATTTTCTTCCACATAATTTCTTTTCTGGTACCTTCTTTGGACAGACTACAGAAAAATATCAAGTTTATCACATACTTTAAAACAAATAAATATATCAAAAGCTAAATATGGCATTTTTTTAAAGTTCTAGCATTAATCTTTAAATTAGTTTGGCAAAGAAAAAAGAAAAGGAAAAAAGAAATAACTAATTTCTCTTGAAAACAGTCTTTAGACGTTCGGTTTTGTAACAAACCATACAGTAGTTAGACTTTAAAGAAATCTTTCATTTTTATTTTATTTTTCAGTTTTCTATTTGTAATGCAAGTGCCACGGACAAGACAAAGCAATAGGAGAAACGAGGTTAATTGCACCAATATTACTTGGAAGTGCAGTTTATCGTCCGACAAAGCAAAACTAAAACGTACTACGCTTAAAAAGAGTCGTACTGATGGGGTTTAGCTAAGCATCCTAAGTAAGGATTTTAGACTTACATGTTAAGGAAGCTCCTTGTACAAAAGATAGAGTATTTTAAGACAAAAGAAAAGTCCTGTAATTAACTGAAGGTCTGGTCCTGTAGCCCCAGTGCAGGCAAAACTTCCACTGAAGACAGTTAAGTGGGACATGGTTTGGATTTACTCCTCCAGCACAACCTCTGGGAAATGCTGTTCGACAGCAGAAAGTCTGCGGCTGTGAAAGAGGGGTGCAGACTCCTTTCTCCTGCAGAGTATGGGCTACAGAGGAAAAAAACCTGGCTGAGAAAGGGATGTGCTAAAATATTGGGTAAAAAGGGAATTTCCTCAGCAACAACAGGTCTGGGTACTAGGCAGGGCAGGGCAAGCCACTGTAGCTCTAACGTGTGCTCCTTAATTCAGGGCATTTAACGAAACGCCCTGTGATCATCGACCTGCTGGGAGGAGGATCTCCAAAACCGTGCTGCTGCTGCCTGGCCATGAGCAAGGAGACTGCGGGGAGCACTGAGGTACTTTCATCCACACCAGTCATTCATGGGTGAAAAAAACAAACAAACCAAAGAAACCCCAAACCCCCTTTTCCAGATGCACTTTTCTGATGTTTCTGAAGAGAGCAGTGCCCCAGTGAAGGTCTCGGGCACAAAGCACAAGTGCCCCACGTAACCTGTGTGACTCTAAAGCTCAGCAGGAGCTCAGCTTGTTTCAGACCCGCAGGTTCAAAACGCAAACATCTGCCTGCAGAGCTGAAGCCTCTCTGGGAAAGCAGGTCAGTCTCGTGGGCGTTAGAGGTGGCTTCTCTCCTGCCGAAAGGAATACTAGGGCACACTCTAAAGCTGACTTTGCATATACTTTGTCGAGTTACCCCACGGACCTGCAAGCCTGGGGACCCAAAAGTATTTTAAATTAGTAGTATTATTATTACCTAAAATTTACCTGTGTTTAATTCATTTATTGATAGGCTAAGGTCAAATTCTCAGAGAATATCCCTATCAAGACATACTAAGTCCCTGCATTTATAAATGCACACCAACATCAATAGTGTTATCTAACGATGAAATACAAAATTCCCTGCATTACTGCTTGTGCAAAAGAAAGAACGTTATCAAGAACTAGAACATGGTCCTCCATATTTGCAAGAAGAACATTTCTCACAAAGATGGGAGCAAAACGGCAGCACATCCTTCAACATGCACCAGGTCGTCCATGAAATCGAGTCCTGCCTTTTACATGATGGCTTGTCCATCAGTGGAATGCCCCAACACGCCCAACTCCTTCCTCTTCTATACGTCGAGAGGATACGAATGGCAGGAGGACAGGCTCCCACTGTGGCTCCTGGACAGTCTAGGGCTGTGGTTGTTACAGTTTTCACCTTTCTTGTTGTCCTTGTCTTTCCAGGTTTCTAGCATTTGTAGCTTCCCTTGCTCTTCTCTCATGAAGACCTCCACCATGAGAACTTTCTCTTTATGAATCTGCTGACTAATGTCCTTGGGAATGTCCGGGATAATCCAGTCGACAAAGTCACTCATAAACATGACCAAATTCTGAAAATGCAATTGTGAGAAAATGTCAGCGAGGTCAACTGAAAGGATGACTGTAGGGGAAGGGACCATTTTTGCTGTACTTGGGAAGGAAGGATGAAGAAAGGACAATATTTGAGTTAGGCTCAAGAGCATGTCACAAGCCTGATGCTGAGCCAAATTTACCTCAACTTCTTGTTCATGCTAGAAGTAGGATTCATGTACAAATACCATCACAGCCACGTAAAAATTTAAAAGAAATGCTGCCACTCGTAAATGGCAAAAGCAAACAGCAACAATGGAAGCTGGTAACATAGATTCCATTAAAAACCTTAATTCAGTGAAAGGGAGGTCTTTCATAAAAATATACATATTTCATTTTAAAAAAACAAGTTCTGAACCAAGATGTTGAGATTAGGCAGACTTGAACCACTTGCATCACAATAACAGCATCTCTGTGGTGACTGAATAACGTCATTTAGTGAAAAATTACAAGATACTTGCGTTCTTGTTCAGATGCAAGTTTAACTGAGAAACTTTGGAAATTTCATTTCTTGGCTGGGTCTAGAAATTGATTTTGCATGAAATCTATGCTGCTTCATTGAATTTGCTGATATCCTACTGGAGAAATTGGTGGGACTTAATTACTACCAGCCTCGTGCTCTGCTGTTCACTAAGGGCATTAAGCTGCTTGTGCATCAAACCAGTCCCAGGAACCCCTCGGGATGAATTTTTCCACTGAGGATATATCTGGACCTGGGTGGGTGCATGGAAAAGGGTGAATGAGAATGGGCAAATTTCTTCACTTTTCCATGAAAGAGCTGAGAAAGAAGATATTTTCGGTGGCCTAATAACGTATTTCCAAAAGCAGCTTGCCCTCATGTAGTTGAATATAGTAATTCTTGTTCTTTCCCATATAAAAAGCGCCTGCAGTATAACCTACCTGGAAAACTATCACAAAGGCTAATCTTGCTGCTAGGACAGCCCAGAAATCCTTGGAAATGTCATACTTGTTTTCGGACCAAGGGGGTTCTCGATAATCTTTGTATCTGCAAAACAAGACTTGGTAAATCAGTGATGTCATTGAGAAATTTTAGCACCAGGAGGAATTAATACCAATCAGTCGAACCATAAATCAAACTGTCTAAAAGCAAGTTCACCGTCACAGCATGCTGGATTAACATCTCAGAAACAAGACTGAAAGCCTGCCACAGCTCTCAGGTTTTACTCAAAATTAAAGATCTTCGATCTTAATCCGCTCTGATTAGTACAAGTAATATCAATTCTGCATAAAGGAGGAGTAAACTACAGCTCAGATAATTCATTTTCTTTTAAGATTGGTTAAAACCCCACCCCCCTATATTTTTCAGACTAATTTTAAAGACAAAATTACTGATCTCAGATCCAAAGTGTGTGTTATACTACGTGGTGTTTTCCTCGTTAGTGATTAGCAAAAGATTGCAGCTAAATTTTGCCATATAGGGAGAAGGTGGGAATTTCGCCTCATCTCTGGCTTACAGAAAATCTACTAGCTAATCAGCAATAACTTGTTAGATGTAGAACCAAGAAGAACTCATCAAATTTAAAACCACAGCATGCTGCCCATATTTTGAAAAGAATTAGGGCTCTATATTTTCAAATGATTGAAAAATCTCTGGAATATGGAAGAAATGGTGGGACGGGAAGAACAAAGAGGCTGGGAGCAGAAAGCAAAACTTCCGTGCTCTAAGTTCTGTGCTAAAAAACATTTGCTAATCTCTTTTCTCCTGTGCCCAGAGATCACCAGGAGGAAACTAGGAGAAAGTAAAAGCAAGCAAACCTAACACATGTGCAATTTCGGCTGGTTTTTTTCTTTCATCTCACATTGATTTTTCTGTTTAGCAGTTGTTTCAGCAGATTAACTTGCACTATTCAAATTTATAAAGAACATAAATTAAAAAAAATAATACAATTATAAAGGTGGGACTTTTTTCCTGGTCAGCTTGTGTAATTTTTTTAGTGTGTGTATAGCAAACTAATCAAACTTTTTTGTCCCCCCTGGAATGTTGCTTTCTTCCTTGTTCTCCTCTTCCCCTTCTCACCGCCCCTTGTCCCCCTTAGAGTTTTGCTGGTCAAAGTACTTTCACTGTTATATTTGGCTTTGGTCCCCGATTCTAAGCATTAAAACATTTATTTTGAAGATGGTGCATATCTAAGTAAGCCTAGGCAAAGCAAGCAGTTCAGCACTGACCTAGATTGCTTCATAAACTGAAATATGCAACAATAATTTTCCTTTATAAATGGAAAGAACATGCAGAAATTGTTACAGTTGTTCAGATTTCCTGTAAGATGACACTTTAACTAGGTCTTTTGGTTCCAGTGCAGATAAGGATGCTATTACCCTCATCGGGAATTGCTACAGAAACCAGACCAAAAAAAAAAAGAGGGGTACTGTGAAGTCATGGTCATTTTATCAATAGCAGGTGATACAACAGCATGACATCAAAAGAATATCATTCTGTTCCCTTAAAGCACCATTGTGCTGTTTATCACTATTTATCTCCTTTCCTGAAAGAGGGAGTACATAGTAATAAAAAAATCTTTGCATGCACAAACACTGAATTTAACAGCGTTTAATCTCCATTTCCTAAAATAAGCAGTGCTTCATATTCAGGTTTTGTGGTTGCTTGATTTGTAAGCCAAGGCGTTCAAGGCAATGGATCTATCGGATATAAAAGGCTACCAAGGTGCTAAAAAAGGCATCGGAAATACAACACCCCAGGAATGGAGATATTTGCCCCACTTTTAGGCGGCTGTGAAAATACTTAAAATTAGTTATCATCCAAAGGAGTACCTGCATATCTGAACCTCGTAGCCAAGATCCATGGGGTCATTTGGAGCTGTTCCTGCTTGAAAATCGCTGACATTAAAAGAGGATAGTGTATGGTTCACGAAGCCATGCATGGTGCCATTCTCACTGTACATATACAGGTACACGAGGCGTGGAATGAAGTCGGATGTGAATGAGATCACAAATGCCTAAGCCATAAGAGTAAAGAGTGAGCGCAATATCCAGGCAGCGGTTTAAATTAATAATATCCTTGAGAACGCCTTGCCCAGCTCGGGGACTGCTTTGGAAAATAAGGCTGGGGACACCGCAGCCCGTGGGGCCCTAAAAATGGAGTATTCGCTTCCACAACGAGGTGGTATTTGCTGCTTCCTCTCCCACGTTGCAGAATGTTAGGTGGGGTAGTTCAACGGAGATTCCTAGCAGGGCAACAACTTGAACTCCCCAGAGAGTGAAGCAGCCGTAACCCCCAGCACCAGAGGAAAACCGAGCGGGGCTGCTTCCCCGCGCCCCAGGCATGGCTCGTCCCTCACGCCTCCTCTAACTGATGGATTTCCAAGTACTTTTTTTCTCCTGCAAACGCTGATTTGACTCCGTAAATTCCCATTGCGTTGCAAAAGGCCATTAATTGCACGTGTTCTTTAACTCCCATCAAGATAAAAAGCTGGGCAGACCGAGCCAAGTTTTCCTTTTTATGGCCCCAAAACACTGCGTTTTATTTGGTTATTTAAAAAGGTTTTCTAAAAATGTCATGCACAAAATGCAAGACAGCCAATTCGGCTGAGTTTTTCATAACTTTAGCCCTTCTCATTTATCATTATTATGAAACATTCTCACTGGCATAAATCTCATGTACATGTGGAACAAACACAGTACAAAATGTTTTACTTATTTTATGATAAAGAGGGGTAGTACACAGATCAAAGAGGGAAAAGTAACACTGGACGAAGAGAGACTACACGGAAGAAAAAGAGAGAAAAATAGAGACGTTATTTCCAGAGGAAAAGGGGAGAAAGGGTGAAGACAAATCATGGCAGCATTCCAAATAACCAAAAGAATAGTTTGGCCACAGCACAACAGATACTCGTGGGCAAAACAAAGGGACTTCCGGTCTGGATAATGGTGAAAAAATCGCAGAGGGTCCATGGACACGTGGCCAGAAGCCCCGCACAGCCCCTGTTTTGCTGCACTGCAAACGTTTTCAGCTTGTCATTCAGGTTTGTGGGGTTTTTTCGTCTCCCCTTAGGCAGGGTGTAACGAAGATGATCATTGGAGACATCTTTTCATATAGTTTTAGATAAGTACAGAAATGAATATATTAAGGCTAAAATTTCCTAAAGGCTGGGATGTTTGAATAAATAAAAATATTTTCATGATTTTCAGAACTATCTGAGTGACAAGCAATGCAGGCTGAGCGCCAGATTTTCAATAGCCCTCTGATGAGCTCAACTAATTCACTCCTGGTTGACTACCAGACCCTAAGTAAGTTCTAGAGCTGAAATTAAATACATCACCTTAGTGATAGTATTTCAAAAGAGCAAAAGTAAGCGGCTGTAGTCTTATTTGTTTAAAGGGCAGAACTGTTTTATGAAAACCTTCTGGAAAAAAAGCTGCAGCAAATACTATTTTATGTCATTGCTACTACTATCACAACTTTAAAATAAACACTGCATCCGATTCTCCTAATATTTCAGAAAATTTCTAAATCATATACTTTCACTTGATGTTAAGGGATTTATGCTGAAATAAAACTAATGGAGCAGAAAGGAAAAGCCAGCCTACTGAATTAAAATTTTATTCATGCCAAATTACTTACATTTATTATGACAGCAAGCTTTCCAATACCTCTGAGGATATTATACCAGATTCCTAAGGAAGGAGACAAACATGTAAATGCTGTTCCAGTCATTAAAATTAGAGAAATTACATTTTCAGTTACCAGTGTTAGGAGTACTTCTGACTGTGCCAGATTTTAAATAAAAAGTGAACAAATTATGCACGATTAATTTAATGACCTTTAAACAGAGGGAACCCAAGTCTGTCTTCCACAGCTATTTTTAGGCACCTTTTTTTTTTTTTTTTTTTTTTTTTGAGGTTTTAAGCTAAAAGCTTCTTTCAGGAAAAGGAAGGCAAGCGTGAGACAGAAAAATGCTGGCATAGGCAGAAAAGAAAAAGATAATGAAATTTTATTCAAACTTCTGAAATGCTTGAAGAGAATAAGAAGGCTACAGAGAAGGAGCTGGGACCTCCACTCACGTGGTGCACAACGTACTGGTCCACCAGCTTTAAGGACTGAATCTATTTCTGTTCTCTCCCTTCCCCATCCCCAGGTCCCATTCCTCTTGGAAGGGCTTCTCTAAAGCCTACATGAAGTGCCGGTTTAGCGTCCGTGGCCGTGCACCCTCGTGCCCGGCCTCTCCAACAGTCTCCTGGCCATTACCGACAGCTTGGAAATGTCTCCTTAGATGAAAGTACTCAAACTGCAAGAGTCAGTTTTGATGGAAAAACCCAGGGCTGCTACCAGATCTGTGGTTACAGCCCTGACGAGCGACTCTCCTATTCTGGGTGTGGGGAGGGAGGGAGGAAGAGGAGGCTTTACACTGGGCAGCAGCCCTGGGAGCCTCCTCCAACCCAGCCGAATCCTTTGCCTGATAACTGACTGATATTCATACAGCTGTGGTCTTCTGGCCCAGCAAACACGAGCCAGCGTGGACAGAGTACCAAAGTGAACTTCAGGAGAAGATATTACAGTATTGGTGAGAGCTTTGCTTGCTGCCGGTGGTTACCCACTGCCCTTAGCAGGTGGGAACTTCTCCCGTTCCTGATTCTGCCGATGCCTGCCCTCAAAACTTGTCTGGTTTGCCTGTGGCCATCTCACAAGCTCTGACTTTGGGAAGTCTCTGAAATAAGTGGGGGTCTTTCACTCACAAGAGCGAGACTGAATTGTAATAAATTGCAATTAAACACCCTCTCAAATGAAAAAAAAAACAACAACAAAAAAACCAACCCAAAATCCAAAACACAACCAAAACCCAACATCCCCTGACACCTCCACCAGAAACCTCAGTCCCCAGCATCAAATGAACCAGCCACAAAGCACCCCAAAACGAGTATCATGGTAAAAGCAACAGCATGGCCAAACCTAACGTGTTCTTCAGCTCTAGAATGATCTTAGGGCTCAGGGACGAGCCCACAGAAAAGTTCTTCTTGCACAATATCAGAATGAACACCCAGTTTGGTAACACATCATAAACTTCTCCGCTCTTGCTGACTGGCTCTGCAATACGAGGGATTATTCACAGAGCGCAGTTCCAGCCAGATTCACTGCAGCTCTCAATCTTCACCCTTCCAACATTTATGCTGAGTAGGGACAAAGGGATACATTTACCCACAGGCTTTTGAGTGTCCTCTCATTCCCAATTTCCAGGCCAGTCCAGAGTCATTAAATGCAGAAATTTTTGCTTCTGCAAGAAAACTCATTGCCAGGAAGAAATGTTGATGTGCAGAACCATGCAAGACATTTTGCTATTGTATTGATCACTTTGATTTGAAAAGTGATATTGTTTACTTAATAAAATATTCATCTGAATTTAAAGCTCCGGTCTCTCTATTTTAAAAGTAAAGCCTCAATAAGTTATGACAGTTCACAGTTAAGCCACAGTCTAATGCTCTGAATTTTCCTATAAATACCTTCCTGTTAATGAAACAAACTCAGCACAGTAACATCCTGCCATCAATCCAGGAAAAACCAAACAGGGATAACGATATCAAGAGCAACGTGCACTTACCTATATCTTTTGCTCTGACTGCTACTGGTCTCCTCAGCTCAGTAACAAATTTTTTTGCATCTAGGCGGATTTCAATGATGTTGTTTAACAAAGCAAACAAAGGCGCCAGCGGGAAGGATGCAACGAACAGAGTTACAAACCCAAACTGAATAACTGTAAAAGAAAAAAAAACCCCAACATTTCAACAGCTGTTTTTATCGAAGGCATGCATCATCCCATCTGTGCCATTCCCTCAAATTTTAATAGAAGGACACCTGGTGGGAGACTAAACTGCATTTTCGGTGTCGGGCATAGTTTGTTGCTGTTCCATTCAGGCACTGGAGGGCCAGCAGCCCCTCTTGCAAAAGGCAAGACAAAGTAACCAGAGGGATGAGGAAGCTCCTAAAACAATTTTGCTCTCACTAATCCCACTGGAAACTTTCTCTTCTCAAGCCTATAAACTCCAGGGCTTTGAAAAGGACATGATGGATTCTCCACTTTTACTGGGAATAGCTTGCTTCCTATAACCTGCTTTTGTTTGCTGGGGACATGACGTAGATTTTGTTTGATGAGGACTCCACACAGATTTCATCTCCATCCTGGTACTGCTGGAGCCCCATCTTCCTCTGTTACTTCCAAATGCTCATCTCGCTAACTGCGTCTTTTCTTATTTTATGGTCAGCATGACCTCGCAGTTTGTACCATTAAATTTCAATCTGTTTCCATTACTCTCAAGATCAAGGTCATCAGATATTCTAATTCACCTCTGCATTTACTGGGCATGCCAAATTTTGCTATTAGTGTACTTCATTATCCTTTGCCACTATTTTTGCCTAGACATTCCCTAGAATACTAAATAAAGTTGCTCTTTTATGACAGATCCTTCAGGAATGAAGCACTGTAGCAAACAGCAGTATGTTGAACAGTTCTCAGCCTTTCTGAGACTGAAGGTGAGAAACGTAGAGCCACAGCAATGTAGGGCTTATATCAATTCTGTATCACTCAACATTACTTGCAAAGAAAACTTTATATGTCACCCGTACAACCTGGTCAACAGGAACAAATGCGTCTCAAAAGATTTAGTTCAGATTTCAGAAAACAGAAACAATCTGGTAGGAGAATATGCAGTGGCAACTGTCAGATCTGAATTGAGTAACTTATTTCCAATGCAGGATGCAACTGATAATAAAATATGCCTCACGATCTCAGGGTTGTGCCATATAATCGCATTTGAAACCTGTCAGTAACATGTCCCATGGCTCAAAAGAAAATATCTGAAATACAGTGCTAAAGTAAGGGCTCATGAACAGCAGAGAGCACAATTCATCCTTGAAGCAGCCTGTGCTTGGCTGAAACACGCTACAGTCCAAGACTACACACTTTAATAGTTAAATGATGCCTCATACCCACTGCCCAAGCAACCTGAGGTTCAAAAAAGCCTCATATCCCCATCCCAATTAACAACAATTTTGGTTTAAAATGGGTTCCTTCCACCTCACTCACTCATTTCCATATATTCAGGGGTAAGCCCAGCGAAAGGCTCCAGGTTATAGTCCACTTCGTAACGCTGTTTTTTTTTCATGTGCTCTTCATGGTCCAAAGAACGCCGACGCTTTAATTTCATGTAGCGTATAAATTTCTTCATTTTTCTAGGGGAAACAGAAACGATTCAGTTAGCATCCATTCTGGTCACATTTCTCAGTTATTTTACATTAACAGTCATAATAAGCTCCATATCTATTTTCATAAAAGCTGTGCAAGAGCCATGACATGATAAAAATATCTGGGACCAGCATATACTGAAATCTGGTTAAAATTGAATTGCGTATTCAGTATTTCACCTCCTGCTGACCAGGAGGAAAGCAATAGGTTGCCCGACACTTTTCAAAGACACCTGCATTGCTGGATGCAGTTGCGGGTATTTGCAATAAGGCAGACCCAAAAAACAACAATAACAACAACAAAACCCAGCAAAAAAAAAACCCAAAAGTTGCTACTCACGGGATGCCAATCTCGAATAAATTGTTCTGAATCAGCTGCTTGCCCAACATGATAATACTGAGCTGGATACACAACTCCATTAGGCAGCCACCTGGAGCACACTGGGGTGGAGAGAGGAAACATCAGTCAGAAGAGTGGCTGCATCCCCACGGCAGGGGCGGGCGACGCTCCCACCCGACACAATCTCAGACAGGCTGAAAACGCAGTTACCTCTTCCATTCGGAAAGAATGGAAAATGTAGACGTAGTCTCCTGGGCGTCCAACAAACCTAGGGCACATTGGTTAGGATTAGAAACTTCGGACGTATTTTAGGGTTTTTATATTCAATTCCTAAAAGTCATTTATAGGTCAAATTCTGAGTGGGACCACCTGAAAATGTGAATAATTCTCTCTGCGTTTAAGAGTAAGTCCCGTTTACTGTGTAAAGAACTCAGTAAAACTTTAGATTTTGTGTTCTGCTGTGCTACAGGCAGAAAACCTCTAAGGTAAAATCTTTGTTTCTGTTGCATTAGCCAGAATGTGCCAGGCAGAGCATTTCTTTTAGCTTTGTGCTTTCACACTGGCTGCAATGAGAGATACTTGCTGTGACAAAAAGCTAAGAGTGGTAGATAGACAAGTTAATGTCTTGATGGGGGATTGCACCTGAACGTACAAAGTTATCCTAACAAAAGGGTTTTAAACAAATTTGAAAGGGCAGAGTACCACTCCCTGCTTTATCCCCTGAGGCTGCAGAGTTTTTGGGTCAACACTGAGGAGTTTTTTGACCAGAGTTACTTTCTTGTCTTAGTTCAGCTACAGGTGTCTCATAAGCAATGAGGTGAAACCCGGAGCAGCCTTTTGCATCACTCACCGGCCTTTGAAGAAAGCGACGTAGAAAATGGGTGTGTAGGCGTTGACAAATTGCAGCAGGAAAGCCTTAAAAATCAGCCGCTCTTCAAAATTCTTGTCAGTTTTTGGCACCTCTGGAACCAATGTGACATGGGTAAGAAATGTTAAGGAATTATCCTGCCTGAACATTTCAAGATCTTACAAATGTGGACCTTGGAAAAGATCAGCCACCTTTTACTCAGAGGTACATATGTATAACAATATATATATTAAAGAAATACAGCCTCACTGAGGTCAGTGGTTAATCTGCTGAGGATCCCACTGTTCAGGTGTGCTACACAGTAATTCCAGTTTCATTCCATATCTGGCTGACCTCCACGACAGTCATCTGAAAAGATTTCTGGACTTTTTGTCACTGATGCTTTTTGGAAACAATTCAAAAAAATTTTTTCTACGGTGGCTTGTTTTGCCCTCAACAATTTTGCATTTCTCAACGTGCCAGGTAAAAGCTGGCAGAAAAGAGTCACGCTTTGAGCCACTTGGAGGTTAATCATGAAAGCCACTCGTTTGGGTCCTCTCATTTAAAATCGCTCTAGTACCAGCTGGCAGTTTAAACCTACCGATCTGAGTTAACCACCTCGCGATGCAGCCGTAGACTTCATCCAGGATGATGATGACAACCAAATTGATAATGACCGCGGTGGCAGTGACGGTGACCCTAACGCTTGACCTGCCCGAGGGAGTTGAACTGATGGCCAGCGCCGCTGCCGTCGAGATCCTGTATATGATGACTCCAAACACTATAGCGAACGTCAGCCCGACCTGCGAGGAAGAAGAGCACAACCTCTCGTGAAAGATTTAACCACAAATACTTCACTTGGGGCTTAGCAATGACTTTAAAAAACGGGAGCTCTGGGCCACATCCCAAACTCACCCAGTTTCGCTTTGATGAATTGTGAGGAGAAAAAAAAAATATTCTTTTGCTGTCATTTGATCAGCAAGTGAAAAAATTGATACAATGACGAAGCATTTGCAAAAAGTTTTTCTTAAAGGCACCTAAATAAAAACTACTTGCTTGTATTAAAACTACTAGTAGGCTTCTTTCAGTCCCTAACAGAAACTGCATATACACATGGGGTTTCCTTTATTATAAAAGAAAGGCAGCATTGAAGCAGAGAGGAGTATTTCAGCTTAAGTCTGTGCACAAGCTTTCAAATATCTTGCTCGGGCTCGCTATGCTGTCATAATCCCAAACTGAAATTACATCTGGTTAAATCAACGCACTTCCTGGCAACGCATTAGCGCACAAAATCTTCCTCAGCTTTTTTGCTGCTTAAATAGAGGAATAATCTTAAAATATGATTCTTTGTAAGGTACTGATTATTTGGCCGAGAAGATTAGATTTACTGCATTTCCGTTCTCTGAAAACGAACACGGAAAAAATCCCAACCCCCGAGCAGGATTCCTATCCCCAAAAAACCCAGATGAACTGAGTTGCTCTGGTATGTTCTACCTTCGGAAAGGGTTTCTGCTGCTTTTATCAATCTGCCAATCCGTTCCATGTCTTGAATTATTATTATTTCCTTCAAAAATTGTTTAAAATGCTGATGCTTTATCAGCAAATGGAAAAAAGGCTGCTCTCATCATTATTTTACCTTTTCCTTAAGTGCTCTGTTTGCAATTCTTATGTTCTATGGTGTAGCCCTAAATTTGACTGATTTATTAAATATCTTTGCAGCCAGGATTACAACTGGCCACATTATTTCTTTCAGAAAAAGTTTGGTGTAGAAATGAGGGCATTCTCTGCCTCCTGACTGCTTTCTGAGAGGACTCACTGTCCTTTTAAAGTTCATCCCATCAATGATGGTAGCGACTTTTATTTCCATGCCCTCATTTTTTCCTCTGCCCTATTTCTTATTTCTTTACTGGAAAGAGACAATAAAGAGGAAATTCAAGCTTTTGAAATGATTTTTGATTTAAAACCAATTAAATGCTTGATTTTTTTTTTTTTCACTGGGGAAAAGCCACCGTAAACTACATCAATCGTATAAAGCCTGCTATGGTTCCACTAACATTTCCATCACTTCTCTTCTATGCATTGACTTGGTACCATAAATCTGACGTTTTGCCAGGTGATGCTTACCATGAAGATAATGCCAACAAAATTGGTTAAATAGGCTGGAAAACGATCCTTCCACGTCAGCTTCTCTTTATCTGTCTAAAATTTGGGGAGAAAAAAAAAGGGATATGCTTAATAAAGACAGCGCGTGTGATTTTGCACACGTGACAAAAGGAGAAGGGGGCGGGGAGGGCTAGCAAATCCACACCGAGTTAGCAGATGCAGAGACACAGTGTTTACAGTTACAATTCCACACGGGCAAATTGTTTACTCCGTATCTAGGTTCAAACTGGTCAAGCGCCTGCACTGCGAGTACAAATCACGCCGATTTTTCTGTATACTCTTTGAAGGAAATGTGCAAATAGGCTGTCATAAACCGTGAGTAAGATCTCTCTTATTGTTAAATGTTTTCTTTTGCTTTTCCCCAGAAAAATTCTCCTTCTTCCCCTCTCCCTGCCCAATTCAGAGCTGCAGCTTGGCAGCTGCACAACTGGCTCTGCTGAAATACAGATCAAGCTCGTTGGCGAGATGAACGCACGGTTGACAGGGGAGATCTTGTTTTGGTGAGTGGCAAAACTTGAAATCCCTTCAATACGAGCGATTTTTAACTACCTGACTCTCCATGTGGTATTTAACAGATCATGCCAAGAGGCATTAAGATGCACACGTATAATAACTCTTTATAGGACACCCTAAACCCAATCAATTCAGGCCACTGCCTGCATTTGGGTATGAAAATCTCCTTTAGAACGGCATTGCTCATCTAGAGTCTTTCATGTTTTGATGCCGGGAATTGTTTCTAAACACCAGAAAATAATAAAACAACAAAAAGAACATTATGGAAGATGGTGCACGTTATAAAGAACATAAAGATATGACTCAAATTCTACTTTTATGACATGCACGTTGTCTCAGGGAAGTGCAAGCAACTCTTTCAACACACGGCGCATGCTCCACTACAAAATGTAACGTCAGTCCAGGTTGGTAAATCTAAGATTAGCCATGCAGTGCCATTCCAGCGCATAGAAACAGTGTCCCCAAAAGCGCTGAAGAAACAAGGGGAGGAGGGGGAAGAAACCCAGAACTGAACGTGAATATTAAACAAGGGTTCAACAGCCAAAAACAAATTGATTTGTGTCTTCCATAATTACTCATAATTTGAGTTTCTTCATAAGTTTGAATAAAAAGAACCAATTTCACCCCAGACATGGCTGTCTTAACTCTTTGTCTCCATTTGTTTGCTGTCTCTTCTGGAAAATACCGATGCTTCTGATGGCAGTCAAAGGAAACAAAAAAAGGATCGGGCAACACAGCATTACAAAGCACTGCTAAATTAATCTATATATTCTCTACTGACTCAGCGTACATAGCAGCTTGGCCACAGGTGAACGCTCTATTAGTCTGCTTAAAACTTTGTGTTTCAGCTTTAGTTTAATAGAACATAATGACAACAAAACACAAACTCTTGCCCCAAATCCCGGGGTAGATCAAGTGATCCTGGCAAAGGATATTCCCCTTCTAATTTAGGGCTGTGCCCTTCATTTTCCTTTAGTTTTTCCTTTAAAAAAATATTTTTTTAATTGGACTTCTCTTGAAAAAAATGATTGATTTCTTGTTTAGCTTTAGATATGTTTTCTTGAAGAAAATTTCCAAGTTGCTTTACAAATGCTGAATTTGAACTTTAACACTCTAGATACCAATGAAAGATAATTACAGAGTCTTTCAGAAAAAAACCTCCTTTTCTCACGTTTCCCAAATTAGTAACATCCAAATTGAACATAGCCCAAAAAGTTATAAATAGTTGGGCTAAGAAAAAAAATAAAAAAATCCTCTCTTAATTGCTCAGCTCTCATACTCTGATATTCTGAGGCCACCATTCATTAATTGTCTGATTACCCCATGGCCTTCATCATTTAATATCTGAATTTCTAATATACCGAGAAGTACAGCACCTCGCAGGTTTTTCACGGAATATAATGAAGTCTGTATTCCAACATTCAGCATGTTAGAAGGTAGCAACCCAAATTCTTTCTCTACTGCAAGTGATTTTAAAGCAGTTCTTGTGCGCACAGTATTGCTCAACCTCTTACATCACCCTATAAATGCTTACACACCATCCCCAGCTTCGTAACATCCTTTAACAGGTGCTGGGGATGTAAAAAGCACATTTTCACGGCGATGTAAAAAGCACGTTAAAAGCAGAAGTGAGAATAAAATGGAAGGAAAGGGAAGCTATGTTTTTAAAAGGCTGAAAGCTCCTATGAAAGCTGCAGTTCGGCAAGGAAATTGGGGTTAGTACTCTTCATTAATGCTCTAGTAATATTTTTATTGACAAAGTCCAGCAAGAGAACCTCTCCTGAGAAGCTTTAGTGTGAGACTAGCACAGGCTAAGATGTTTTGTTCCAGTGTAATCAAGCAGAAGCTCAATTAGCTTCCCTAGGCCACACTCCTGTACCTAATTATTAAAGACATTTCTCAACTTAATCAGGTCTCGTGCACTGATGCACACCCTGTCCCCCGTGTATGCTGGGACTGAAGACATCTGGAGTTTAACCACAACGTGCAGTGACTCTTTTTGTTACCTATTTCTTAGTCTTGGGTCAGTGCTTGCTACAATGACCTTCTTTTTTCAAAGTCTTTTAGAAGTGAAACAAATGAATATTTTTACCATACCTCTTTATGTTTATGCTCTCTTCTCAGTGATTTTTCTAAAACTTTAGCTTCATATTCTGCTCTGGGATGATCCTGTGGAATAAGTCACATTTAATAAAATAATAAAAAAAAATTTATTTTCTATATCAGCTACATGTGATCTGTTTGCAGGTGGATTTCCTGATCATTTCTGAGTCTTCTAACTGCTAATTCACTCAGAACATCATTCACTTCAACTGACAGTCGACTGTAATTAAAAAAAAAAAAGTGAAATCCCGTATCATTCACAGCTCTACAGCAGCAACTGCAGAATGATCTGGACTCACTGTCAGAAACAGTGCAACATCCTGTAGACCAAATTTAATACATAGGAGTATATGGCATAACTTGGCTCATACCAATTGACGTTAAGCTTGGATATTAATTACTTATCATTTTGGTATAAATTAGACTTTGCATGTCATCAAACTGTAATTTCAGTTTCCTTCACGAGGGAAACAGTTATCTGCTGTCAGTATGCAAAATACTTGGCTTTGGGATCCCAGAAAATTGTCATTTGGGGTCTTGCCCTAATCACGTCTTGGACAAAACCCATGGATTACCCGTGTGCATGAAGGAGAGGGTGTAGGAAGCACTCAGAAGTAAGAGACAGCCAAAATTTCGAGAAATATTCATGGATTCACAGTAAGTATGCATTCACAAAAGATTCAGAATTCACAGTATTTATGCATCAGATGGGAAACAGAACGGAGTTGAAAAAAGTTTGGACAAGTGGAGAGGAGGAGGGTGTGAAGGCAAAAGAATCAGTGGGAGATCTAAAGAAAATCTAATACTTGAAAAACAAGAGGTGGAGATCAAAAGATGGCATTCATCAGTAGGCATGTAATAAAGAAGGTAGGAGGAATCGTAAAAAAAAAAAAAATGTTTTCCAAACCTTGACTGCCTCCTTCAGGAAACCAGAAAAAAAAAATCAAGAAAAAAAAAGAACAAAAATACAAAAATTTGATTACTTAATTGTTGCAGATCATATTGGATTTATATTTTTAAAATTACATGAAACAAACATAGGTACAGTGGACAGCAAGACACTACCAGAGAAAATCAGTCTACTCATGTTCTACACCATTTATTAACGTTACTCTAAGTACTGTATGACCTAGGTGTTCGTAGAAACACCACAGGATGAGACTCTTGGAGTTTTAATATTTCCTTTGAAACTCTGATTCTGCAACATGACACTAGTTTAAGTTTTACCCAAATGAGAAATAGGAAGGGCTTAAATTCCTTGCTGAACCCACAACTGTAACGTCTAGCACTGACTACACCAAACAAAGAATAAAATATACTTTATTAATAGCTGCTGTTTTAGCTGTGCGAGAGCTCTGAACTCAGACATGAAGGGGATAGACGTTGGAAAGATACAGTTAATCCTTTCTACTTTCATGTGTGCTAATGACGAGTTACCAAAAATAAAAGAGCGGTGCAGTCTCCAGGAAATAAATCCCTTTATTCTCTCGCAGTAAAATAGGTATGATCTAGCAAAGCGCACGGCATAGGGGCTGCTGGCATAGCAGCGCCTAAATATATTACGTAGGAGATAAACATATGAAGAGGAGATAATTCAAGCAGAAAAAAATTCGGGGGGCGAGGGGAACAATAATTGTGCCAGGCTCGTCAAGCTGTTAAACCCAGGTTTTTGTTTCACGTGAGCAAGATTTGCTGCGTATCTATTTAGAACATCAAGTGATGTGGCAAGGGCGGTCCTACTTCTTTTAGTAATGACAACTTTCAAAAAAAGATAAAAAATAAAAAAGCTGGGGCTGCCCTATGGTGTAGGAAGGCATTTTCCTCTTTTCGTAAAGCAACAAAATTAAAAATAAAGAAGTGGGATACAGCTTCTCAGCTGGCTGAGGATTTTCTCTCCTTTCCTTCTAAAACTTCATGCAAATTTGGCCCTTTTGCCCTTCACACTGTTTTGTATATTTTGTATAAACCTAGCTAGAAATACTATTTTTTTTTTTTTTAGCAAATAAAAAACCCCTCAAACCCCACACTTCCACACCATGTCCCTCCCAATGTCCCAAGCCCACAGGTCTGGCATTATTTTCTTAAACATTTTCCAACTCAGGGCTTGATCCTGCATCGTTAAAGTTAATGGGAATTTTACAGTGCTTTTTTTTTTTTTTTACAGCGCTGTAACTTTATCAACTTCAGTACATTCATTTCTGATTTACAGCGGCGTGAGATGAATGAGGTCCTTACTTGTCAGCACCCTGACATCAGCCCAGCAGTACGGTATGAGCTGTATATTCTGTGCCTACGCTGCTAGGCGTGACCCAACTACACGCTTTTTAAAAAAAAAAATAAAAAAATCAATTTTGTGGCTATACAATTATATTTCTATGGCAACAAGACATACTAGTCATACCCTTACTATAAAAACCTCAAATAGTTCATGTACAGAGATTTTCCTTTCTCCTAAGTGATGTAACTGCCCCAGGAGCAGTTCCCCATGAGGCAACGTCTACAAGCTCGGGGCACGGAGCCATTGGTTACGCCACAGTGGAAGTCAAAGAGTCAGAACTGAAGGGACAAACCTCCTCCTCTTCAAACCCAGTCAGGTCCCACCTGTAGTTGAGACGCATCTGTTTTCTCTTCCAGTGTTCCATAAAGGTGGCAGCTGAAACAACAGTTTAAAAATCATTTTGATGTTTCACCCCCTCAAAAAAATACCGTATCAGCCTCTGAGATTTGTCTTGGGAGGGACGCTGGCGACACTCCACATCCCTGCCTTACATCTGCAGCGTCTCGCCTACAGGAGGTCTCAGCAGGTGCAATTTCATATCATATATCATATCATAGAATCATGAAGGTTGGAAAAGACCTCATCAAGTCCAGCTGTCAACGCTACCATGACTTCTAAACCATGTCCCAAAGTGCCACGTCTGCATGTTTTCTTGAACACCTCCAGGGATGGTGACTCCACCGCTTCCCTTGGCAGCCTATTATCATATCATATCATATCATATCATACATCATATCATACATCATATCATACCATACCATATCATATCATACCTTGTATCAATATCAGGCTGGGTTAACTTATTTTTTGTTACTCTTTTATTCAACAGTAATATTTATCTGGGAAACAGTGATGGGCTAGGAGCCAACCTTTTTATCCAGGTAAGCTAAAAGACAGGGGCCTGTGTTACATCTCCAGCTCCAGGCAGAAAGATGCACACAATTTTCAAAGGGGTCTAAGAAAGTAATAAATATTTGTATGCGTGATTAAGGGTATCGTTTGCCTTCCTGCAGACAATTCCGTCCATAAGTCCCAACAAACCTGTGTTTTATCTACACAAAACATGAACGATTTCAGTAGCCTTGTACTGATGGGATAGTTACTCCCTCAAAGATATCACAATAAATCATTTTTATTTTTTTATAATTACATCAATCTAGTGATCCTAATAGTACGGTGAGCTCTAATCATCACAGTCCACACAGTCACAGCCACGTGAAAGCTGCAGGTGAGCAGGCTGTTAAAGAGGAAACCTTTAAGGGTTTTTATCACAAAAAACACTGCCTTTTTCTTTTTGATGGAGAAGACTTACAGAAAAGAAAGCTCGTTAAAGCAGCTCTTGAGTGGCAAGGAACAATCCCAGTCTATATCAGTCTGTCCGCCTCTGAGACCGAGCAAGTTCTCAGAGAACATATTTAGATGCTGGGAATACACCAGTGCTGTATAATAAAGAAGTGATTATGAAAGAGGCAAGTCTACCAAGAAACCGTGTTTCCCAGGGGAGCTTCCTGCAGTGAGTATAAACAGATGTGCTCAGAGATCATAGAATCATAGAATCACAGA